TTGTTGGTCCAAAATAGGATGCTCGTATGCTTTTAGGAAAGCTACGTACGACACTCAAGCAGGAATTTAGGACAGTATGAATATGAAAAGTTGCAAAGGGAATTTGGTAGCCAGAAATAGCATATGAAATCGCTTCCCCTAATCTAAATTACAACCCGCCTTTTATAGGCGTATACAAATCGTAACTGCTACTGATAATAATGACTAATTAATTACAGCATTAATATGACATTAAATACATAATTAATAGCGCATTAATTGCTTGACCGTTACTCTTCCGGGCTAGGAGGTCGGCCGGACTGGCAAGTAGGCTCCAGGTTGTGGACTTGGATCCACGGGTCCAAGTTCAGGGCTTGGGCTGATTAGGCTCTGGGCTAGTCCCATTACTTCATCAGGGATTACCTGCTATATCTCTTTAGAAACTATAAGAATTTATTTATAGTCGGTCACGTCGGACCATTATTGGCGGGAGGTCCCTAAAGTTGGGATTATTCTGAAATAATCGATAGTTGAGATTATTATGAGCGGACCGCCAATAGTTGAGATTATTACAATCAATTTTTTGAAATGAAAAATTATAATATTAAACTCTAAATGGATTGATCAAAGAGGGGCAATGAATTGAATTATAAAATATGGGTACATCCTTTTAGCTTGGACCTAATAATTAGGAGTATTTATAACTAAAGATTGGACTAGTAATTTCTTTTCTCATTGATAAGATTTAAGTTACTTTCACTAATTTATCCTATTTCTAGGCTTTATTAATGTGTTTAAAATGGTTGGCCTAAATTATATTCTAATCTCATAGACAAGATAAATATAACTTTCCGCATTTTAGCTAACAAAATGGTCAACTTCATTAATTAATTAAATTCTCATATTAAACAATTGAATTTATTCCTCATAGACAAAGATTAAATTATATCCATTAATTTATCCTATATCTAGGCTTCATTAATGTGCTCAATATGTTTGGCTTAAACTATTTATAATCTCATAGACAAGTTATAAACAATCTTCCAAAGTTTAATTAATGAAATGACCAAATCTATTAAGTAATCAAATTAATCATTTTAAACAACTAGTCCATAACATTAGTTAAACTCCTAATTTTCAGTCAAACAAGGTCAACTCATATTCTTTAATTCAACTCATTCCCAAGAGTAAATTAACTACAACAACTCATTACTAGTTTTAACACTTTACATATAAAATAAGACATTATCATAAATCATAAGAACAAAATGAAATATTAAAGTGAATACTCCCAACATCTAAACTTTTGTTTTTGTCACAAATAAACCTCATTTATACAAGGTATTGAGTTTATCTAAGTAGGAGATTAATATAACAACAAGAACTATTTTTCTTGAATAAATATGGAAAATACGAAATTCTTAAAATTAATGCAGAGAATGTTTCACTAACATTTGGAAAATAAAAGGAACATATTCAGAATCTACACGACGAGAAGATGAATTTTCATATAAAACACTTACAAATTGGAGCTAAAATGAGAAAGATATGAAAGATTGAAGTTGAAGGTCCAACTATGGTGGAAATCCGAGCTTTGAGGAGGAAGAAGACACCCTTTTTGATCTAAGTTGGGTGTAAGATGATGTGTTTTGAATTGGGGATGGAAGAGGGCTTCTATAGCCGGAGTTTCGTGGAAGGCGTCCAGAAGGGCGGCAGCCTTCGGTCACTTCCTCGACAAAGCTACGTGTACGCGTCAAATCCGCCGCAAGCGCCCATGGAGGGCGGTCACCCTTTTGGCCGCCTCCCGTCTTGTCTCAGCGACTGGCAGCTCAAAAATCACACCCCACCGCAGGCGTCCACGGAGGGCGGCCGCCCTCCGTCCCTTGTCGGCACCCTTCCATAATTTTGTCGCCATTCAAAGTGTTGTGTACTGAAACCGTCAAAAACTCGTAGGCGCCCAGAACGGCGACCGCCTTATCAACCGCCTCACGTCAAATGGAAAATTTGTCTTCACCAAAGTTGTAGATCTCTTTCTTGGCTAACTACTGGAATTTGAATTTCATGGACTGGATTTGTAGTTTATGAGATATGACCAAAACGGTGAGCACGTGTCACATTCCATTGCTACTGCCAATGTCTGACTTCTTTGAGCAATATGTCCATTCTACGATTGTTATTTGGTTATGTGTTCTTCATAAGAGTTGTATAGAAAGAATATGTCAATGTAATGCAACTGGTATCACAAACCTTGGGCAATCATGCGCCAAGTTATGATCAAAATACAAACATGTGTCTTTATGCATCGTCCATTTTCATCAAAAGTGGTCATATATGGGACCTCTTTTTGGTTTCTGAGCTTCCTTGCATGATTTCTTCCTCTCTTGGTCTCTTCTCATTGAACAATTGGTCAACATATCTTGCAAACTTCCTTAGCAATTCATTTGTTGGCAAAAATGCCACTTTCTTCACGTAATTGAGCCGAAATTTCGCCAAACATGTTATCAATGTTATTTTTACCTGATTTCATGAAACTTGAACCGAAATATATAAAACATGCCTTGTTTTTATATTTTCAATCCAAAAATCGCTTAAATTTGATGAGAAAAGTAAGTACAAAAATGGACTTATCAGCCACTTCCAAAGAAACAATGTGAATCGGTGACTACCAAACGGGCAACATGCAATTCTTCCTGAGCTTTAAGGTCATCGTACTCTTTACCATATCAACAAACTCAAAATAGCCGAAAAATTCACTCAGTCCCTAATTGGACATAGATAAGTTCACCCAAAACAGTGTGAAACTTTTCGCTGAACAAACGAGAGCTTCGAGTCAAATAACGGCCATAAGCACTTGAAGCGGCATCTTCCAAACCATAGTCACACGATCCTTGCATGGAGGCAGTTTAGGACGGGGGCGAACTGAGAGTACTACATCTTCTTTCTTACCTTGATCCTTGTTTATCACATTCTCTATCATATCTTCACTTTCGTCACCGGAAACACGTCACCAAACACTAAACGCCAGCTCCGACGGTGACTTTGCAATCCCAAAGTATCCTAGACAAAGCTATGCCCATCTCATGTTAAATTTATCCGAGTATTTGTTACATAGAGTATGTAAGTATGTGTGCATACGTTCTTGTAAAGTCAATCTTTATATCCCAAAAAAATAACAACGGTTTACTGTTCTATTAATTACTCCATATATTTGAGTCACTTTTTTGGAAAAATTAGAGGTGATCATATTTTTGGAATTGAAAACACTCATACTAATAACGGTGCCATTTTTTCATTTTATTATAAATACGTGTCAATAAATATTTATGAAAATCTAGTAGATTGATTTAAAACTAGCTGTCTTACATCGACGATGTGAGATACACATCATTCTTTATAATATCATTTATGTATAATCTCGAAAACAAATAAGCAACGTTTTTTAAATATATTGGACACATATTCAATGTAAATAAAACTAATATAGTTTGATAAAGTTATGATTGACTTTAGCGCGTTATACAGTCGATACCTATCGACATGTTTAGGAGGATATTAACTTGGTCCAAAAAGTGGAATCTCCCAACCCAGGAGTCCCCCATACCCCGACCCAACAGGATTTTTGGGAGGATGTTAATCACGGTGACTCAGTCGGTCCAATGATGGTAGGCCTTTTTTCCCGTGCGCACCAGAGGCCCAGCCTTATTTCAGGTTCTGTGACCTCCACACGGCCACGGCGGGTTTCGAACCTTGGTCACTTGGTCCAAATTTCCCACTACTGAACCAACTGAGCTACCCGTGCGGGTATTTATGAGGATATTAACCATATCATGTCTAGGAGTAAAATATGGGAGTAAAATATGACAAAAGTGCTAAAATAGTGGGGCAAAACTGCCCTTAATGAAATGTTTATTTTATTTATTAAAAATGAAAAATAGAATAATAATAAAGCTTAGTACGCAACGTAACAATTGATTGCACAGTCAGGGGCGGATCTAGCATTGGCATTCAGTAGGGGCCAAATTTAATTGAAGTGTTAAATATAGTATTCCTTTAAATAATTACTTATGTTCTTAAATAAATGCAACATGTTGAATTTTACACTATTCATATATTATATTTTGATTACACTTTATTTTTTAATGAATTAATAACTTTTTTTAAAATATTGTTCAACTTGTCTAATTGTAAATTTTCAAAATCTTATTTTTATTTTTATTTTTTTACTAATAGAGAATAATATATGGAGTATATTACTGATCAAAGTTGTGCATCAACAAATGTGATAAGTAAACTGTTGCATTTACTTAAGAACAAATGTAGTGTATATTTAATAAAACTTATTTTCATGTGTAAAATAACATATGTTACAACATAAATCTCTAAGACAAAAATAAATATTATGAGATAAAGATTTTTTGTCAAAATCAATTACATAAACACCTCAAACCCATAATTATTGAACTTATTTTCACCTCCAAACCTAATGAGTTGAAGATATGCTCTCCATTGCAAAACAAAAAATGTTGTCACTGGGAATCGAACCCAAGATATTCATGATACTACGCCGGTATGGACATGATCTACCACCATCTCACCATTTTCGTTTTTGTTAAGCTTTTGACTGTTATTATTTTTATACCATTTCTACACAACATTAAATATATCAAAATAAATATATATACATACTAATTTTTTTATTTTTTTGAGCATGGGCCTAGGCCCTCCCTGGCCCATAGCTAGATCCGCCCCTGTGCACAGTGCTCTTGCACAGACTACCATTGCTAAATATGAGTGAATAAGTCCTATTTGAGAAATAAAACAATAATAATGTTGTTTATGAACTTTATTCTTGTGGAAGTCCTATATAAGAAATTTTATCAAAAACGAAAAATAATCCAATATTATTAAAATGCACGTATTTGAATTTCCTAATATATAACTACACATGTTTTTTCCTGTCGTATGACTTCATTGATAATCAAAGACCGGATTTAAGAAAAGATGAAAGTGGCTAAAGGAACTTTAAAATGCATGGACTTGGATGATAACATTAATCGACATAGAAAAAGACATACTCCGTCGTATATAGTTCAAATAAGTTACAACCTACAATTGCGGTTTGAACTTTTGGTTTTACAAACATACAAATGTTGCTAAGACAGTAAGACATTATCTTGCATGAAATCATGCTTTACTTAGTTATATGTTTAAGCAAAGCTAACTGCATTTATTAGAAATTTAAATACATGATTTTATTGAGGCTATTAGGAAAATGGGATCCTTGAAAACCAGGAGCACTTAGTAGATATTGTTACTCAAAATTGCTTGGACTGTCCCGCCCTCACCTCACAAAGGGAATTTTAAACTGAGTGAAGAAATGATGTTTGTTAATTCATTCACTGCTTTTTTTGAAGTGCCTTCATCTTTCTGGAAGCTGTCATCAAGTTTCTGCTTCATATTCATGACATTCTTCTTCAGCTCTTCTCTCTCATCTCCCACCATAATTCTTCTAATAGTCTCTGTAATAACGCTTCTCTCCACCTTCTCCAACTCCAACCCGACCTTCCACTCTTGGATTAAGAGCCTAGAGTTCACCAATTGATCAGCGAAGTGCGGTCTACAAATCATCGGAACACCTTCACCGAGACTCTCTAGCGTCGAGTTCCAACCGCAATGGCTCCAGAATCCACCCACTGAGCCATGAGCCAATACTTTCTTTTGTGGAGCCCATTTAACTACTCGTCCCCTGTTTCTAGTTGTTTTCTCAAAGTCTTCTATGAGCCGTTCATTCTCTTCCAAACCTATTAAAAGTTAAATCATCCCACCACACTCATGAAGTATAGAAATACAATTTACATATAAGTTCTTACACTACTCATATTAGATACTCCGTATTTTAGTATTGAGTCTTGTTAAAATATTTGTCCATATAAGATTCTGGTCCACTCATTCTAAATACTATCGGTGTGTGGTAATCTCGTCTATCATATTCAACACCATTTTTGATTTGACAAATGATTTAGTAGGGTCTATTTGTGGTTGCTTGCCTCATTTATCTACCCGTCAAGTCATCCAATCAGGTTTAAGATAAAACGTGGGTAAAAGTATTTGTCACACATCAAAAAATATAAAAACTAAACCACTAAAATAATGTACAATTATGCATCAAACATAAAATTTCAAACTGACCCTCAATTGAACTGGGCTGGATTGCCCATAGGAAAGGCTGGTTGCTATCAGCCAATCCCGAGGCGATCTCTTCAAAGTCTGTTTCATTAATGGCAGCTAAGCTCCCACATACGCTTAGAAAGATGACAGATTGAGGAACTTGATCATCCAACCATGCGAGGCAGCTATCGTCTTCTTCGATCAAGCTAGTTGTTCTGCTAGCCGGGGCTATCTTATGCAATGGACCTATTGGGAAGATGGGCACTTTGTAACGTTGTTGGAGTCTTGACAACCATGTGTGTTCAAGATCCTCCATTGTGTTCCATATTATGGCCACAGAAGACCTTATATTGTTTGAAGTCAACATGAAACGTCTTACTTTTTCGGATTGTCTAAAGACGATCGGCATATCTTGGTATCGTATGGGATGAAACTCCGGGATTGGATCCTCAAGCCTCGACTCTGCAACATGAGTGGATTTGCTACTTTGTTAGTATTGTACTATCTCCGTTCCAAAAAGAGTTGCAAATTTGACTTTTCTTAGTCAAACAGTCTTGTTTTGTTCACTTAATTAGGATGTCAATTTTTAATTATATTCTAATTTGGAGTTTACAACTTTGAAGAGATTTTAATGTTGTTTTTGAATATGTAAATTCTATTTATTAAAAATTGAATTAATTATCCATGTGGAGGGTTGACTTTTATTATTGGTTGACCAAAAATTGTTGACTTTGCAAAACAAATTGGGACAGAGGGAGTATTACTTTTAAATTTAAGGCGGAATTAGTTGAAATATTGTCAAATTTGATGGAATAGCAGAGTCAAAGGGAGAAAGAACAGAGCATAGGAACAGAGCATTAAGAACAGAGCATAAGAACAGAGCATATACCTGGAATGGAAGAAAGAGTGTCTTCATGTTCAAGAACATCGAGTAAAACTGGGAAGTAAGCAGCACTGGAAGGGCGTAACACGATAGAAGGCAGATTGAGAAGAGCGGCGACTTGGTCAACGAAGAACATGAGGTTGTCATAGATGATACAAGAAACCACATCTCCCTTCTCTTCCAGGTATTCCTGGAGGGGTACCCTACAATTCTCATTCATATCATAGATGGTTTCTAGTCTCCCTTTCAGGCCTATATCACTTGCTTTTATTATCCCATCTAAGTTTATGCTTAAACTGTGTCCCAAACTTTGGAAGGAGAATTCAGGGTGGTTTGAAGGGTCAGGGGCGTTGCATCTGGCGTGGGCGACTGTGATGGAGAAGCCCTTCGAGTGAAGGACGTGTCCCAGTTGGAGCATAGGGGTGACGTGCCCTTGAAAGGGGCTAGGCACCAGAACCACCAAATCCCGCCGCCGCGTTTCGGCTTCGCGCTCCATTTCTGGCTGCCTTTCTTGTTGGAAATTACTGGTAAATGTCATGCTTTTTAATCTATAAGGAATCGAAGCTTTGCTGCAAAACTAAATCTTTTGTCAGGTGAGTACCTTCCACATCGTTTTAAGGCAACTACGAGTATGATTTTAATATACGTGGTACTCCGTATTTATTACTCCGTAATTTATAGCAGTTGCAAGGAAAACAATATAGGAAACCTTTTTGGGTAGTTCACCTATCCTATTCTACTACGTGTACGTAGAATATATATGTGGCCAATCTAATTTTGTTTTATTTTAAATTTAACATACCTGATACTCGCTCCGTCCCTAAAAGGATTGTCAAGTTTGACCGGCACTTAGAATAATGATGTAAAAATTGTGTGATAGAGATTTGTGCAAAGGAGAGAGAAATAACATAAACCACAAATTGATTGACTAAAAGGGAAAGCGTCAAAATTTTTAGGACAACAAAAAAAGAAAAGTTATCAAAGCTATAAGGGACGGAGGGAGTATTAAACTTTGACATTTCTACGAGTATTATAATAGACCTTTCACAAAAGTCGTTTACATAATAATAAATTAAATATCAATATGTGTGATGATTAATTAGATCCCATTAAAAAATGTGCGTTTACTCAAAAATTTAAAGAGTTTTGCCACTTTTAGTCCCCAATTATTATGACACTGACATTTTTGGTACTCAACTTTGAATTTTCCACTTTTAATCCTTTGACTATTGTGCAAAAGTCACTTTTGATGCTCTTTTGACACTTTTAGTCTTTGAAAATATTCACATTTAATCTTTTGACTTTCATAATAATGACACTTTAGGTCCTTTAAATATTAAAATTGTGACATTTTTAATCCTCCACTAATTGTGTCAAAAACATAGTGGAAGGACTAAAAGTGCCAATTTGATAATACTCAAGGAGTCAAGGGATTAAATGCGGGAAATTTTGAAGTCAATGACTAAAAGTGTCTCTTGCATAATAGTCGAGGATTAAAAGTGAAAATATTGAAAGTCGAGTACCAATAGTTGAGGGACCAAAAATAGTAAAAACTCAAAATATAAATCCATTGAAGTCATCTGCTAATAATATTCTTTTCACTATATATGTAATTTTTGATTCTGTGCGATAAGTTATGTAATATTCAAAATAAGTGAGGTTGAGATTACTATTCTGCTTAAATTGTTGACACTAATGTAAAAGATCATTTTAGTTATTTTAAATATTATTTTTTTCATAATTTAGCAAAATCAGTCAATTCAGCCACTTTAGCCGAAATTTCATAAATTTAGCAAAACCAATCGTATTTCCAAACATGCTCATAGTCACCACAAATACATTTTAATTTATCATTTTTATCATATCCAAATATTGTTTTTGCAATTTTAACATTAACTTCAATACTGATTTACGAATTATTGAGGAGTTAAATTAATTTTATCATCAACTTAATATCGATCGTAGACTTAATATAAGAACTTAAAATGAGACCGAAAATGATAACGGTAAAACATATTAGAGCGAGGAACGTGACATGCATGATATTGTTTCATAACGTATTAAACCATTTTAGAATGAATTAGATCAAACAATAATTTTTTTGCAACATAGATCGAACAATAGATCATATTATTCATATAATCATTATCGTATAAAAAGTTATAGGGAAAATAATTAAATAATTTTAAATAATACGGAGTACAAACTATCTTCCATGAACCAAGAATAATACGAAAATAAGTTTTAATAATACCAACTATTTAAATATAGACCAAAAGTGATACAGAGCATTTTTTACTATATGTTTAACTATTTAACTCATCAAAAACTTGTACCAAAATATCTAAAAAGTGAATATATTTCCAAATATCATTTATTTGATGAGTTGCCATTAGTTTTTGATGTCTTGAATGACCAGTTTTTTTGTCAATATGTGACTCCGTATATTTTTTGTACATTCAAAAAATTGATATTATTAAAAGTCATTTTCAAAGTATGTATTATTATTGATTCATGGATGATAGTTGATATGGAATATTATTTAAAGTTATTTTTCCAAATTTATAAGATTGGACTAATCAAATGGGAATGGACCCTTGTTATGGAAAGACGAAGGGGAACGATACTGAACACTAATGATGATTTCTAGTTTACCAACCTTGCTGTTTTGTTGGCTTTTCTCCTTAAATTAATTTGGAGTCTTCGCAAATTCTAAGATAAGGTTCAATAAATTCTGAATTGAACTTTCTTTTCCCACCTTTCTATAAGCGTGAAAAGGCTTCACTCTTGACTTCTAAAAAAAATTAAAGACTTTTTAAGAAATAGCCTAAACTATATATATATATATATATATATATATATATATATATATATATATATATATATATATATATATATATATATATATATAGAGAGAGAGAGAGAGAGAGAGAGAAAAGATCGATCCCATGAGAAGTGTCATTTAGGCTGAAAAGTGAGAAGCATTCTAGACCATACGATCAACCCATTTAAGCCGTACGATTGTTTCCGCTCAGATCTCCGCAATTATTTCATTAATGGCATATTTGTAATTTTATTGAACTATATACATTTTTTGCTAAAGGTCTCTGTTTCCATCTCTCCCTCGAACTTCAATTTGATGGCTATATGCCGTTTCATCCATGAAGTTTATGACCTATACGGTTATACCTAGTTATTTCCAGCACCGTACAAGAGGAAAGATCAAGTTTTGTTGACGACGACTTCCCATCGAAGACATATCGAAGGTCCGAATCATCCTCTTTTTTTCTAATCTGAACTACTAAACTCTTCCCTGATCTGATTCAATTTATGCTCTGCGATTGATTTTTACCTGGAATTTGGTTTTGATTTTTTGAATCCTAAATTATGATATTCGATTCAACTATCTTTCTACAAACAGTTTTGCTCGTTACTTTTTTGTTGTCTTATTTATTTCATAACTCGATCGAAACTATATATTATGTCTATCAAGTGTTTGTTAGACTATTTCAACCCTAATTCATTCGAGCATAGGGTGTAATTTTATGAATAACGAATGAAACTCATTGACTACTTTTTTTTTATTAAACCTTTCTCTATATAGTTATAGTTTTGTCCTCTTAAATTTACATTTTTATTAAAATTTAAACCTTCTAACCTTTAGACCAGAGTTTTCAATAAAAGTTAATTATGTATTTTGATTCAATAGTTATTGTTATTTGATTAAAAGTTTTTTAGTTGACAGAGAACCTCAATTTCCAATCACTATGTATAGTACTTTGAATTAATGTAGGAAACCCAAACATTTATGATCTGTTAGCTGAAGTTGTAATTATGTATAGATTATTTTCGTTGACTGAATTTTCTTTGTCTTAATGTTTGTTGCTTTTCAGTATAATGGATCAAGTTGATGATGTTGATGTTGTTGATGTGAACTCAACTGTGAACTCAACTCCATTCTTGAGCACTTCCTTTTCTTCTAAACAATGGATTCCATCTTGCCCTCTTGATTGTAAACCTGCTGTTGGTATAATTTTCTCTTCCTTAGGAGATGCTAAGCTCTTTTACAATCAGTATGCTTCGATGTGTGGATTTGAAGTGCGATTAGGAAGTGATAATAAACATCGAGATGGTACTGTTTTAAGGAAATATTTTCTATGCAACAAACAAGGTTTTAAAGAGGATAATGACAGTAACCAAAAGCGTTTGCTTAAATCTGAAAAACAGAAATCTGGTAAAAGTGCACCTCGCCGAAAACTGCCCTAAAGAGAATGGGATGTGGTGCTTGTATGAAAGTCCGTTTTTCTTCTTTTGGTTCATATACAGTATGTCACGCCCCGGACCTACCCGGACACGTCAACAACCCGCCGTACAGTACGAATTGTCAACCGCAGTTCAACACATCCATACAATACAAGGCGTCTGGAATATCATTCACACATAGTACATCCATAAACAAACATAATGTAAAAACATTCATTTAAGCAGCGAAAACAATATTACAAGTGTTCAAGCCACACTTGGCATAACTAGGCATACAAGCCTCCAAAATAATTATTCAGAAAATAATATCCATGAGCATTATTTGAATTGTTTTCAAAACAGAAACGGAAAAAGCATGAACCACGTCTTCTTCCTTTGATCTTCTCGAAGCAACGGACGGTGGCAGCAACCTTCAAGTTCCACTTGAAACTGTGAGGTGGCCTCCCCTGTGAAAGGGAGGTCAGTACTTGGAAGCATTTGACAAGTACAATGACAACTATACTAAGTATAATCAATGTTTCAATTTCTAAGACCCTCAATCCAGGGTGATAATATATTATAGGCCATAACCCTCGGTTACCCCTTTTTAGAAAAATACTTACTTTATATAAAGTCAAGTAGTCGGCCCGTGGACCCATATTCATTTAGAATTTACCATTTTAATTCCCCGTGACTACAAGTCACGACAACCCCATAGGGTTCCCTCGAGTCCCGATTGTATAGCAAGGGCTCGGCCCAACTACGTTTCCATACTAACCATAACTTCGTGACAAGGGCTCGGCCCAACTACGTTTCCACGAAGATCACAAATACATGGCAAGGGCTCGGCCCAACTACGTTTCCATGCTAATCACATTACATGGTAAGGGCTCGGCCCAACTACATTTCCATGCAATCCTAGAGTCCGACTCTAATTTATTTTCATAGTCCAATTCTCAAGCAAATCCTATGCCTAGAATCAATTCACTTGGGTAGCCTTTAGGCCTACCCCTAACACACCTTAGTGTTCATACAATTCGACCCTAAAATATCTCTTAAGACTACTTAAGGCATCACTATTCACAACCCTATCTCTTAGGATTAATTCCATCATTTATTTATATTAATCTCCCGACTAGTATTTCAATACTAGTCGGATAAATCTTAGAACAACCAAGTTCTTAATTCATAGCCAAAAATTCATCTCAATTGAATTTCAAATCCAAATATGATTTAATCTCAATATCAAAAATATCACTTTTATCCATTCATGAATTCCTTAAATGAAGTAAAAGTATATTTTATCACAATATTTTCATAGTTAATCCCATTTTCATGCCATTCCTTTCATATCCCATAATCATACACAATTTCTTCCAAATTTGTATAACATGCTTCATTTAATCATATGCAATAGTATTTTCATTTAGGCATTATTATTCATTAATAATCCATGAAAATCACATCTAATACCTTATGTAATCTTATGAAATTAACCCAACAATTATAAGCAATATAGTCAGCCATCCTCACCTCGAATGAGCTTAAAGAAGTTCTACCCTTCTCGATTGAACTCCGGCGATACTCTGGTGAACTCCGGCGAAACTTCGGTGAAACTCCGGCGAAACTCCGGCAAAAGTTAGGAACACTTTAGTCAAGCTCCTAACAAGGTTTTATCATCACATAACCCATATCAACACAAATAACCTCTAAAAGGTTATTTTCCGGCGAACCGGTCATTTGGCTTCTAAGTTCGTTCTTGGACTTAGAACTACCTTCCAACCCCTTGTTCTACACTTCTAAATATGAAGAACAATCCTAGGGGTCCTCAATATGATATATAAATCATAAGTTAGCTAAGAAGTAGAGGAAAAGTTAGTATAAAGTCATTACCTTAATTCTTCACACTTTTCCTATCTTTTTCTTTCTCCAAACTTCTTTCTTTTTCTTGTTTGAGCTTGGGCTCGTGTTTGGCTTTGGAAGATGGGATTTCAGAATTCTTCCTTCTTCCTCTCCTTGGTGCTGGCAGAACTAATGAGTGGGAGGGAGGGAAGGTTGGCCTTTTTGTCCCTTTTGGGCAAATGGTGAGGAGAAGGGGTCCATTGGATGTCAATGATGTCTCCCCCATCCTTTCAAATGTCCTTCAGCCCCATTTTTGTACTCAATCAGCCTTTTTTTGGTTGAAAAATTCGTGGGATGGCCCCCACCCATGTGGGAGGTCATCCTAATGTGCCCCAAAGGGAACAATCGGTCCCGAAAGTTGTATTTTCCGGACTAATGTATTTATATTTTATTTTATCGGTCCAAATAAAATATAACACACGTTCCTAATCATTATAGGACTTTAGAATAGATGTACATTCCCCAACTTTAATTTAGGAGTCTTCAGAATTCATTTCGGACTGTTATCCGATAAAAATACCAATACCGGTATTTGGACCTCGTTTGACCAACGGGTCAACTCTATGCTCTTTCTATGGGCCTACTAAAATATCCACCACCATATAAATATCATCTAGACTAAGATGAATATAATATGTGATCTTGGACTTATCGGGCGGTCCCCGTTCCCGGTGTGGGTCCCACGTGAAATTAACTATTCACGCAAAAGAAATAATAAAAATTCAGAATTTCGCAAATTCGTGATTGATTCATCAAGGTTTATTACATAATTTACTAAAAAGTAAATGTGCTCGGGGACGGTGCTACACAGAATACTGGTTTCATGAGCCATATACACATGAGTTTACTACTCCCAAGAGTCAAATGTTTCAAAAGCAAAACTGTAATATGACCGTGGTTCATAAGATATTTATTTTTGACAATGCGAAGCTTAACAAGGGAGCAAGTTTGTCATTTCATATGATGAAAGAACAAGTCAGTGGGTATGCAAACATTGGTGCTTCTTTAGTTGATTTTAATAACTGTAATCGTGATTTGAAGACATGTTAAATATGGAGATGCGCATATGTTTATTGAGTCTTTTAAGCAAAAGGTTGCTCATTCAAGTGGTTTCTTTTTTTATTTTGTTGTTGATGAGACTCAGAGATAGACTAGAATTTTTTGGGCAGATGCATTATGTAGGAAACATTATGCATTGTTTGGTGATATGGTTACTTTGGATTCCACGTTTTCTACGAATAAATATTCTATGGTTTTTTCACCTTTTACTGGGGTAGATAACCATCGTAAATGTATTACCTTTGGGTCTGCTTTGATTGCTAATGAGGATGTTGATTCATATACATGGGTTTTTGAGACATTCTTGCGGTGTATGGGTGGTTGTCAGCCTATAAGTATCGTGACAGATCAAGACCCTACTATAAAAATAGCTATACCCAGAGTTTTTGACAAGGCAAAACATAGGCTTTGCATGTGGCACATAATGAAAAATGTCTGTGAAAAAGTAGGGTATAAACTTTGTGATGAAACTGATTTTCTTCTCCGTTAGATTGCTGTTGTGTGGAATCGTGATCTAGAACCGGATGAATTTGTTATTGGTTGGTTGTCCGTTATGGCTGATTTTGGATTACAGAAACACGACTGGTTTGCGAATTTGTTTGATATTAGAGAAATGTGGATTCCTGCCTATTTCAGAGATGTATTTTTAGGTGAAATTTTAAGATCTATTCAAAGATCAGAGAGTGAAAATAATTTTTTTGACCACTTCTTAAACCCATTCCTATCTTTGGTTGAATTTGCATCTCGCTTTCAAACTGCCATAGAGTCTCAACGTTATCACCATGACTAGTTGCATGCTAATTCCAAAAAATCATTTCCTCAATTGCTCACGCCATTACCACTTGAGAAGCATGGTTCTGAACTTTACACCCTCACTGTTTTTCACTTGTTTCAAAGTGAGTGGAAAGCTGCGTGTTTTTCTTTTGGTAATTAATGCTTCACTACTGATGAATCGGGCTGTGATCATGTTTCTATTGTTGATATTCTTTGTGAAAAAACATTTGAAGTTACATATAACCCCGTTGATCATGATAGTTCTTGCTCTTGCAAGATATTTCAGAGGGAAAGTTTATTGTGCCGTCATGTTCTATTCATTATAAAAGGTAAGGGTGTTCGGGAGCTGCCCAATCAATATATACTGAATCATTGGACAAAAAAAGCTTTGGAAAAGCCTATATTTGACGGTTCTGGGAACATCTTGGATGGATGTGCTGCTGATTCTAAAAATAAATTGGTGGGTGATCTTTGGTCTTCTTTTTTCAGTTGTGTTTCTCTTGCTGAGAGTTCAAATGATGATCTGCAGAAGTTATTGGACATGGTTGAATCTTTCAAAGGCTTAATTCTTTCAAAACATACTTCCAATTATGTTGGAAAAGGTGCAAATGACATTGAAAGCCTCTTAGGTATCAGCTGTTCATCAGAATATAGTATTCATCCTCCCAAGATTTCTGTTAATAAAGGCAGAAAAAAAGAATGATTAGCGAGCGTGAAAAAACTATAATTAAGAAGAAGTCAAGTGATGTGGATAAGAGTGATGCTTGTGCCACAGAGGATCAAGTCAAGAAGCTAAGAACATGCAAATCTTGTGGTGAAGTTGGTTTCCATGATAGTAGAAACTGCCCTAATAAAGAATGTGACACTTCTTCAAGTTAACACCATGTTTATTATTTTAATTGTTTTGTAAATTTTCAATGTCTAACTGCTATATTTTTTTTTACAGTTGTTGATAAACTGGACTTGTCTCCACTTAATGCCTCTTACTGTCTTTCCAAGTTCTGAACCGAAGTTTAATTTCTTTATTGCTTTAGTTTTGCATTTTGCCAAATTATTGTTAAAACTGTCCTAGCCACTTCTTCTAGTTTGTAACTTGCTAACTATTTTACACTTCCTAACAGCTATTACTTCATTTTTTGCAGTTGTTGATAGATTGGACTCATCTCTACTTGCTGCCTCTTGCCGTGTTTCCCAGTTTAATTTGAAGTGAAATTTGAATTTTATATGGACTGCAGTTTCTGCATTCTGCCGTATTGCTGTCTTTTTTAGTTGTTAGTGCGTTAAGTCAATTTCCTGTTTTTTTAGTTGATAGCACGTAATTCATACTTGTAATGACACTTTTACCATTTAATTTATGGTTTTCAAAGTATTAAGTATCTATTATAGTTTTTTTCTTGGGAGCTTCTGTCAAGTATCTATTATATTTTTATATATGTTGGTTAGGTAAAAGCAGAGTGCACTACAAAATAACTGTAGTGAGATCATACGTAGCATTGAAAATAACTTCAAAATTAAAGTTTGCTAATAAAGAAAACAAGTTAAGATATATGAGGTTGTTTTGCATTTTTCTGCTACTAATGTTTTGAACTGCATTACAAAACTCAAACTAAAAATTTACTTATTGTATCATTCCAAAAAATGCAACAAATTAAAATAGTTTTTCATTGGTAGCTGTTAATGTAATTATCTTAAAATTTAACATTTAAAATGTAATAATACTCTTAAGAAAAATTTATGGTTTTTGTAATGAGCAGGTACAAGCCACATTCATTACTATCTTTCTTGGTTTTCCATTCAAAGTCCACATCTTCAAATTGATACTTTCTCAATTCATTTGCCCTTGGGTGGTTCTTCTTTTTCAAATAAAGTGACATCTCTGTGCACTGTATTAAAATTAATAATTAAGTTTTTTTCTGTTATTAATAGAAATACATGCACAACTAATCACTATTAATAAGAAAATTTAAACTTTTACCAGTAGATCAGCAACTTTTTTATGCCACTTCAAGTCTGCATGTTTTTTATAGTCCACCAAATGTATCGTCTTTGACAGTGTGTTTATAAAAAAGATGCATAGTGTTTCTTGTACAGGAATGGAATCACTATCTGCAAATAGATGTATTAAAAAATATTTTTTACTACGTTTTATCTGATCTTCATTTACACACATTTTCAAAAGTTAATACTTACAAAATCTGCTTTGGCAATGTCCCATCTTTGATTATTCAAAGAAATCCAATCATCTGAATCTCTGTGGAGAGCGTTTCTCATATCTATTTCAAACCCTTCTTGCATAAACCTTGTCAATATGTCCTTCACATTCACATAAAAAATAAATTTGTTATTTTCCCTATAATCACAAAATATAAATTCAAATATTTTTACTTACTGATTGTGACAGGCAGAGATACAACCGCTTCCCATATTGCTGGTCCACTTTTAACTCCTCTTCATTGAGATAATATGCCCAACAATTTACAATTGCTGAAGGAATAAATTTTCCAGAAGCTAAGAGGAGCATATCTTCCATTGTCACAGAAAGAGTCTCATTGAATCTCACTATCAACTCTCTATAAAAACGATGTCAAAAAATATTTCAACTTATTTCAAACTATATTCTGACCACTATACAAAAATTGAAAGTTTGTAGTTATTATAATAATTAGTTTATTATCAAAAATAATGCAAGGTTATGGATTCTTACTCTTTCTCCATTGAACTCTCATAAAAGCAGTAATCCAGAAAATGCTTGTTGTACTGTTCTGTATTTTTGAAAAGATGAGAACTTGTGTCTTGCATGAACTTTGACAGGAATGTCATGCACTCTTCAGTTGCTCTTTTTTCCCTGTGTGTATCTTGCACTTCTGTTTCCACATTCCCGATTTCTATGTTTTCTGCATCTCTTACTTCTTCATGATTTTCCACTTCATTGGCTTTTGCAGTGTTGTCTTCCTGTGTGCTTGACTTCATATCCATTAGCCAATCAACAACAGCATCCACAATTTCAAAAGTTTTTGGATCATTAAAATTTTTATCAAAAGTGTTTGTTGATTGGGAGCTTTGTTGTTTGCTGGCTTGTTCCTGTGAGTCCATGTCTTGTATTGGAGACATGTGAGCCCTGAACACTACTTCAACATCCCTCTTTACAAGCATAAGAGTTTTACTTTTTTCCAAAAGCAATATAAGGACAAAAGGTTACATTAATAACTAATATTTATCTTTGTAATCGACATAACGCTTATTAGTTTTTATCATGTATATATACAACACATGATAACTTTTAAATAAACTTTACTTACATCTTTTGTTTGTCTCTCAATTTCACTATCT